GAGGAGAGTAGTATTTGTGTGGTGTAATTGTCGAAAGGAAGGTGGCGGCGAGGAGGGATGTGAGGGTCCCTCTCTTCTCCTCTCCTCCCCTCCCCTCCACTCCGCCACCTTCCCCTCTCCGCCCTCCCCTCCGCCCCCACCACCCTCCATGTTGTCCCAGAGGCCCAGCATGCCGACGTCGTGCTCTTGTCACGGCGTGGGCCCCCAGAGATCTGGGCCCCCTAGAGCCGGATCTCGATCCCCAGCCCTCTTCTGGCAGTCCCGGGGCCCGGCGAGGGCACCTGGAGAGCGAACATGGCCAGAACCCCCCCGCCGTGTCTCGTTCACACCGCGAGGAGGTTGGGGGTGGGGGCCGGAATGAAGTCGGGCGTGTCCCTGTACAGGAGGAATCTTCAAGAATGGTTAAAAAATAGTCAGGGGACGATTTGTCGTCCCCTGTTTCTGTTTGGTTTTGGACTATTTTTCAATTTTTTGTTGTGAGCATGTGTGAATTGTTTTTTGACTATTCTTAGTTTTTCGTCCAAAGCCCGCCTGCAGGGGACATGCCCGACCTAAGGCTGGAAGGGGTGGTGGTGGCGCGGCCAGGAGCGGATCGTGGCATTCCCTGGCTCGGCGCGGCAGCAGCAGCAGCAGCAGCAGCAGCAGCAGCAGCAGCAGCAGCAGCAGCAGCAGCAGCAGCAGCAGCAGGCGGCCGCCTGCGCGACGGCCGCCGCGGCCGCGCGGCAGCCGCAGCCGCTCGCGGTCCGCCGCGCCTCCTCGCCCGAGATGGCCGGAGCTGCCGCCCCCGCGCGGCAGCCGCAGCCCGCGGCGGCTCAGCACAGCCCGCCGGCCGAGTCGGGGGGCGCGGCCGCCGCCGACGGTGCCCCTCCGCAGCCGCCGCCCGTGCCGTCGCCGCGGCCGGCGCTCCAGGATCAAGGGTTAAGTCGGGCCTGTCCCTCTACAGGGGAAATATTCAAAAAAATGATCAGGGGACCATGTCTGGACTTTTTGAGCATTTTTGGGGCATTTTTTGAGTCTGTTCGATTTTTCGCCCAGAATCCCCCTGTAGGGGGACAGGCCCGGCTTAGATCAAGGGAGGAAGAACCAGCCGCCCCGGACAGTGGGCGTCTGCTGAACGGCCTTGGGCGCCTGCTCGACGGCCCTGCCCTGGTCGATGCCTTCTCTTCTGGGCGCGCTTGCTGCCAAACGACTTCGCGTTTGCCGGGGTGGTTACAGTGCCGTCTTTAATACATGTTCCGCGTGCGGATCGTGTATTCATGATGCAGGGGTTTAGTCTTAAAGACAAGGAGGAGTTCATGCATACATTCATCCGTGTATATATATATACACTTATTATTATTATTATTATTATTAGTATTCATGATTACGATTATTATCATTATTATTATTGTTGTTGTTATTATTATTATTATTAGTATTATTATTATTATTACTATCATCATTATTAGTATTATTACTATTACTACTACATTATTATTATTTCATTTTTTTCAAAATCCCATGTATTTGAAACTGCCCTGTGCTCTGGGGGTGGACTTCCCTGCCCTCTGCAGGAGCCGCCCTGGCAGCCGCCGCGGGGCCAACAGCCGCAGCCCCCGCCCGGGGCGCAGGCCGCCCCGCCGGGCGTCCCGGCGCGGGGCGGCAGCGCGCCCGCGGGCAGCGCTCCGCGGGGGGGCCTCCGGGCCCTCGGCGGCATCACCGGGGGAACAGAAAGCGACAGAAGCTCAGCCACTCGGGGGCGGAAAAGAGGAGGGTGATGACTAGGGGGGGCGTGGATATCATGGCGCGGGCCATGATATTTCCCCAGATTTCATGGCGCCCCTTCTTATTTCATCACGTCCCAGGCCCCCCCGCTGGGCCGCGCACGTGCCGCCAGTCTTGATTTGCACCCCCCCTCTTGGACACCCCCTTCTTGGCCGCTCCCGAACATAAGCTCAGCCACGCGCAGAGGGGGGCGGGGGGGAGGGGGAGGGGCTTCTCAGAGGCACCAAAACCGCTTCAAACAGGCGCGGGCCTGATCTGTAGACGTAGGGCCGGCGCCCTCTAGGAAGCAGCCTCCTTCTGAGAAGCCCTCCCCCCTCCCTCCACCCCCTTGTGCGCGCCGCCAATAAACATAAAAACTCGGAGGTCCGCGCGGATTTCTGGGATCGGCGCTGGGGCACCCCCGGCGGCGCCTCCGGCGCCGCCCCTGGCGCGCTCCACGCGCCAGGGAGGGGGGTCCAGCGCCGATCCGAGAGATCCGCGCGGACCTCCGAGTTTTTATGTTTATGTCACTTTCTGTTCCCCTAATCACGCAGCGGCTCCTGGGCTCGCTGGGCGCCTGCGCGCCGCGCGCGCGCGCCGCGGCGTCCCGGGTGCCGCTCCTCGCTCAGATGCCCGCCTCGTCGTCGGCGACCCCAGCGGCGTCCTCGAGGCAGGTCAAGGCCGAGGCAGAGGACGTCAGGGGCAACGTCCTCCTCCTCCTCCTCCTATCCTATCCTGGCCTATCCTAGCTTAGCCTAGCCTAGCTTATCCTATCCTACCCTATCCTCCTCCTCCTCCTCCTTCTCCTCTACTGCTATTCCTCAGGGGGGACTAGGCTCGGGGGGGGATGCAACGACCCCCAATCACGCACTGATCGCCGATGAGGGCCGGACAGCCCACCCCGCCCCGCACCGTGCGGATGCGCTGTCGGGGGCCTGTCGCCGATCTATCAGCGATGTATCTCCGATCTCAGGTCGATGTCCCTCCCCCGAGCCAGTGCCCCCTAAGCCAGGATGGGAAAAAACACACAGACACAAGTAATCGTCGATTCCCAAGGAACATATGGGAAAGGGTGCTGGCGTATCCCCGCCCCCCTGAAAAATCGCAGGGCGATGCAAAGCGCTCAATCCAACTCCATTGCACTTCCACTCCTTGCTTGGGAAGGCACAACAACAGGCTTTATTGGAAAGCCTCTCATAAAGAATCCTTTGGAAAGCGCCACCGAGGGATTCTATTGGAAAGCCCCACAAAAGGAATCCTTTAGAAAGCGCCACAGAGGGGTTCTATGGGAAAGAATCACAATCGGAATCTTTTGGAAAGCACACAAAGGGATTCTATTGGAAAGCCTCACAAACGGAATCCATTGGAAAGCCTCACAGTCGGAATCTTTTGGAAAGCCTCACTAAAGGATTCCTTTGGAAAGCACCACAAAGGGATTCTTTTGGAAAGCCGCACAAAGGAATTCTATTGGAAAGCCTGAAAAAAGGAATCCTTTGGAAAGCACCACAAAGGGATTCTATTGGAAAGCCTCACAAAAGGAATCCTTTCGAAAGCGCCACATAGGGATTCTATTGGAAAGCCTCACAAAAGGAATCCTTTGGAAAGCACCACAAAGGGGTTCTATTGGAAAGATTCACAAATGAAATCCTTTGGAAAGCACCACAAAGGGATTCGATTGGAGAGCCGCGCAAAATGAATCCTTTGGAAAGCGCCACAAAGGAATTCTATTGGAAAGCCTCACACAAGGAATCCTTTGGAAAGCACCACAAAGGGATTCTATTGGAGAGCCGCACAAAAGGAATCCTCTGGAAAGCGTCACAGAGGGATTCTATTGGAAAGCAAAAAAAAACAAAAAACCATTGAAAAGACCCAAAAAACCAAAGAAACCAAAGACCCAGGGCTGAAAAACCAAACAAAAACATTGAAACAACAAAAAAAAACAAAGATTTCAATACTTACTCCACCTCTCGTCCTCCTCCTCCCCCGCCTCCTCCTCCTCCTCATCCTCCTCTTCCTCCTCCTCCTCCTCCTCCTCGTCCTCCTCCTCCTCGCCCCCCACCCCTCAGCCCTCACCCCCCATCATTGCCCCGCTTCTATGGGAGGAGGAGGAGGAGGAGGAGGAGGAGGAGGAGGAGGAGGAGGAGGAGTGAGAGGAGGAGGAGGAGAGGAGTAGGAGGAGGAGGAGGAGGAGGACCGGAGAGAGAATGGAGGAGGAGGAGGAGGAGGAGGAGGAGAAGGCAAGGGGGGGAGGGGGAGGAGGAGGAGGAGGTGGACCACTCCTCCATTCCGCTTCTCCGCCTCCACTTCACTCCTCCATCCCGCTCCTCCTCCATCCCACTCTTCCGTCAATTCCGCTCCCTCCTCCCCCCCTCCTCCTCCTCCTCGCAGGGCAAGGGGCGAAGGAGGAGAGGGGGAGGAGGAGGACGAGGAAGGATGAAAGGAGTGAAAGGTGAGGGCTAAGGGTGGGGGGCGCTGGGAGGAGGAGGAGGAGGAGGAGAAGGATGAGTGAGGCAGGATGAAGGAGGAGGAGGCAGGAGGGGAGCGAGGTAGAGGAGGAGGAGGCACGGGGAGGAGGGAGGCGGAGGAAAGGCGGGGGATGAGGAGGACGAGAAGTGGAGTAAGTTTTTTATGTTTCTTTTCAATGTTTTTGGTTTTTCAGCCCTGGGTATTTTTTTGTGTGTTTTTTACTGTTTTTTTGGGGTTGTTGAGGGGGGGAGGAGGAAGCGGAATTGAGGAAGAGTGGGATGGAGGAGGAGCGGGATGGAGGAGTGAAGTGGAGGCGGAGAAGCGGAATGGAGGAGTGGTCCACCTCCTCCTCCTCCTCCCCCTCCCCCCCTTGCCTTCTCCACCTCCTCCTCCTCCTCCTTCTCCTCCTCCTCCTCCTCCTACTCCATTCTCTCTCCGGTCCTCCTCCTCCTCCTCCTCCTCCTCCTCCTCCTCTTCCTCCTCCTCCCCCTCCCATAGAAGCGGGGCAAGGACGGGGGGTGAGGGCTGAGGGGTGGGGGGCGAGGAGGAGGAGGACGAGGAGGAGGAGGAGGAGGAGGAGGAGAGGAGGAGCGGGGACGAGGAGGACGAGAGGTGGAGTAAGTATTGAAATCTTTTTGTTTTTTTTCTTTCTGTTTTTCAATCTTTTTTGGTTTTTCAGCCTGTTTTTTTTTTTTTTTTTTTTTTTTTTTTTTTTTTTTTCCATTTCTTGTTTTCCAATAGAACTCCTTTCTGATGCTTTCCAAAGGACTCTATTTGTGAGGCTTTCCAATAGAATCCTTTTGTGATGATTTCCAAAGGATTCCGTTGGTGCGGCTTTCCAATAGAATTCCTTTGTGCGGCATAGAATTCCTTTGTGCGGCTTTCCAATAGAATCCATTTGTGACGCTTTCAAAAGGATTCCTTTTGTGAGGATTTCCAATCGAATTCATTTGTGATGCTTTCCAAAGGATTCCGTTTGTGAGGCTTTCCAATCGATTTCCTGTGTGGCGCTTTCCAAAGGATTCCTGCTGTGAGGCTTTCCAACAGAATCCCTCTGTGGCGCTTCCCAAAGGAGTCCGATTCTGAAGCTTTCGAATAGAATCCCTTTGTGGCGCTTTCCAAAGGATTCCTGCTATGAGGCTTTCCAATAGAACCCCTCTGTGGCGCTTTCCAAAGGATTCCTGTTGTGAGGCTCTCCAATAGAATCACTTTGTGCGTTTCCAAAAGATTCCTGTTGTGAGGCCTCAATGGGATCATTTTGCGGCGCTTTCCAAAGGAAGGGGGAAGAGGAGGAAGAGAAAGAAAGGCTTTGCATCATCCTGCGATTTTTCAGGGGGGCGGGGATACGCCAGCGCCCATGGGAAAATATGGGAAGTGGGGAGGAAGACTAACACCCAGAAAATATGGGGAAGCATGGGGAATCCTGTTATTTGTGTGTATTTATTTGTGTGTCCCAGGGCCCCTTCATCAAGGTTCCCCCTCTCAGGACAGTGACGACGACGTCATCGCTCCGATGACGCGGTTCAGCTCCAGCAGGAGGATGCTGCTGACCTCCACCATAAGTTTCATCCAGCAGAGCATTCGGCCTGACCCCGAGGCCGACGAGCAGTTTCCCAACAGGGAGCTCTTCAGAGCCTTTCAGGAGGCCGGCAGCGCCCGCTTTCTCCTGCTCCTCTCCTGGTCCTCTTGCTGATCCTGCTGGTGCTCGTCATCGTTGTCGTTGTTTTCCTCTTCCTTTTTTGGAGCCCATCCAGCTGCCTGCAGCAAGCCTCGCCACCGTGCCAGCGCAGCATCGGAGCACGTGTTGGATGACGGTAGCGGACTTGCCCGACACGACTTGCACCTTCATGTTCAGGAGGTCGGAGACTCGCACATGCCAGCCAGCAAGACGAACCATATTGATGTATACGGTCTGAGTTCATTTTGACATGGTCAACGGAGGGTCCCAGTACGGATTGGGACGCACACTCATTGTGTCCCATAAGGGTTGCCAGCCACATCGGTGGGGCTGTACCCAAGTGTTTGTTGTCGTTGCTGTTGTTATTGTTGTTGTTGTTGTTGTTGTTGTTGTTGTTGTCGTTGTTGTTGTTGTTGTTGTTGTTGTTGTTGTTATTGTTGTTGTTTTTGGTGTCGCTACTGCTGCTGCTGTTGTTGTTGCTGTTGTTGTTGTCGTTGTCGTTTTTGTTTGTTTGTTGTTGGTTTGCTGTTTTTGTTGCTTTTGTTGTTTTTGATATTAATGTTGCTGTTGCTGTTGCTGCTATTGTTGTTGTTGTTGTTGTTGTTGTTGTTGTTGTTGTTGTTGTTGTTGTTGTTGTTGTGGTTGTTGTTGTTGTTGTTGTTGTTGTTATTGTTGTTGTTGTTGTTATTGTTGTTGTTGTTGTCGTTGTTGTTGTTGTTGTTGTTGCTGTTGTTGTTGTCGTCGTCGTCGTCGTCGTCGTCGTCGTCGTCGTCGTCGTCGTTGTTGTTGTTGTTGTTGTTGTTGTTGTTGTTGTTGTTGTTGTTGTTGTTGTTGTTGTTGTTATTGTTGTTGTTGAACTCATGTCTGAAGAGTAATTATGGTTGATCCCTTCCCCGGTGCATATTGTACGCTCGCATTTTTGTTACAGAGAAAGTCTTTCTGGTCAAACTGTGCCCCTGGCCGCCCAACAACAACGGCTCCCGCTTGAGACTTTCTCCAAATTTACTCAGGACCCCCCTCCCGTCTGAGACTTCATCCCAATTTACTCAGGAACGGCGCTCCCGCTTGAGACTTCCTCACAATTTAGTCCGGGTCAAACTGCGTTGCTGCTCCCCCAGACTACAACAACACCGGCTCACGCCTGAGATTTCCTCCAATTTTACCCAGGACCCCGCTCCCACCTGAGACTTCCTCCCAATTTACTCTGGAACGGCGCTCCCGTCTGTGACGTGCTTGCAATTTAGTCAGGACCCCCCCTCCCGTCTGAGGCTCCCTCACAAATTACTCAAGAAAGGTGCTCCCGCTTAAGATTTCCCTTCGCTTGAGTGTGGACCCCCGCTCCCGCCAGGCATCCCCTTTTCAGGACTTGCGCTCTCGCCTGTGACTTTTTCGCAGTTGATTCAGAAATCACGCTATCTACGCTCAGGCACCACGCTCGCGCCAAGGACGCTGTCACACTTTACTTAGGAATCGCGCTCCCGCGCTACTCAGGCATCCCGCTTGAATGTCCCACCCGCCCGACCCGCCCGTCAGAGGATCGCCCGCCCTCCGTGGGCTGCCGCCTGAGACTTCCTTGTGGACTGGCGCTTTCGCTTAGGACTTCTTCGAACGTTCGCACTCTTACCTTCCTCCCGGGCCGCCTCCCCCCTCCTTCCGATTCCCTCTCCCTCTCACGTCAGCTGATGTTGAATTTCATTCCTGAAGAATGATTTCTGTTGGTCCCCCCCACCGGTGCGCATTGGCCCTGCTGGTTCCTCTCACCCACCCTGGCCCTGCAGCGCTCTAGGAGATGGCATCGGGCACCACATTCGCCTCCAACACTTCGCCAAGCAGCACCAGAGGTGTTACATGGCGCTGTTTATGGCGCGACCCATGTCGAAGCCTTTGTTAACCTGTGTTGGAATGGCTGGTGCAAGCCATGGCGCAAGCTGAATCACACTTCACGGCGCAAATCATCGTCGTCCCTCCCTCTTGCCCCTCTAATTCCTCCCTTCCTCCGATCCCTTCGTCCTCTCTTTTTGTCTTTTCCTTTTCGTTTCGCTGTTTAGGGATTTCTCCAATTACACGTGGCCAGGGAGGAATATAAACGCCAAAAAGGGGGTACGATCGAAGACGAAGAGGGCGGTTATCCAGGGTTTGGGATATGCATAGTGACTGACACGCGGGCCGGTAGGAGCGAGCAGTCTTGGAATGATTGTTGTTGTTGCTGCTGTTGCTGTTGTTGGTGATGATCATGCTGATGTTGTTGTTGTTGTTGTTGTTCTTGTTGTTGCTGATGCTGCTGTTGTTGTTGTTGTTGTTGAACATTATTACTTCTAAAGAATAATTATTGTTGGGGCCCCTGGTGCGCGACCCCCCCGCCGCGCCTAGGCCGCAGCCTCATTTTCATCATTTTCGTGAGGAAGTCTCAGGTAAAACGATGTCATCCAGATCCGGTTGTGTTGTTACGATCGGTTTTCCCTTGCAAGAAATAAGCTAAAGTGGACATTTCTTGTTCTAACATAACCAAACTTCAAGAATCCCTTGCAAAAAAAAGGTAAAGTGGACATTCGCGCGCGCAAGACGAAATCCTTCCAAAACCTTAGTGTTCGTAGCGATTTTAACATAAAAACATCAAAAAACCAATGGTTTTTCAACAAAAAAATGTCAAAATCTCATCCCGCGCGCTCTTGCGGATTCGTAGGAAACCCAACACTTTTTAAACATTTCTGTCAAACGGGCTTTTGCGAGCAACTTTTTCGAACTTCTGCAACAACGGTTGCGCACCTGCCAGGGCCATCATCCCTGTCAAATAATACCATGCGGGACACATTCGTTTTTTCTTCGCGCGCGCACGCCGTCGTCGTCGGCCGCGGGGCCCTGAATAGTAGCCACGGTCGTCCGCATGCCACGAAGTGAAGTGTCCGAACGTCATAGGGCGGGAAGCTGGGTGTGGGTGGTGGCGAAGAGTCGTTTGGAAATTTGGTAGAGCTTGAACCGGCCCCCCCACAAAGTGGGGGTATTGCCCGCCTCCTATGAAAACCCTGGCACTGGTGAGAACGGTGTGTCCCCACGTGCTAGTAATTGTTGTTGTTGTTGTTGTTGTTGTTGTTGTTGTTGTTGTGGTGGTTGTTGTCGTCGTCGACGTCGTCGTTGTTGTCGTCATCGTTGTCGTTGTCGTTGACGTTGTTGTTGTCGTTGCTGATGCTGCTGATGTTGTTGTTGTTGTTGCTGTTGCTGTTGCTGCGGCTGTTGCAGCTGATGTTGTTGTCGTTGTCGTTGTCGATGTCGTTGTCGTTGCCGTTGTTGTTGTTGTTGTTGTCGTTGTCGTTGTCGTTGTTGTTATTGTTGCTCTTGTTGTTATTATTGTTGTTGTTGTTGTTGTCGTTGTTTGTTTTTCGTTGTTTGTTGTTCGTTTTTCGTTGTTCGTTGTCGTTGTCGTTGTGTTTGTTTTCGCTTATGTTTTTGTTGTTGTTGTGGTTGTGGCTGTTGCGGTTGTTGTAGTTGTTGTTGTTATTGTTGTTGTTGAGTTCTCATTCCTAACGAATGTTTATGGTCGGTCGTCCCTACTCTGGTACTCTACTTGTTTAACTGAAGTGCTCCCCCTTGGGCGCGCACCCTGTTTTTAATGAGGGAACTCTTGGTGTCACCAAACTGGGTTGTTGGGCCCCGATGTGCAATAACAGTGGTTTCCGCATCTTCACAATGTATTCCCAAATCGCGCTCTCGCGAGGGACTTCCTCACAACTAATGTAGGAATCGCGCTCTCGCGTGGAACTCCCATCGCAATGTAATCAGAATCGCGCTATCGCTCGAGCTCTCCTCGCAATTCATGCAGTACTCACTCTTCAGCAACACGTCTTCTCGACCTGGCCGCTTGGACCCGCTTTTGCACCGCCCCCCTGTTAGGGTCTATCCGCCCGATGGGTCCGTATGGTTCTGCCACGTCTTTTCTGTTCTTAGCCCCCTTCCTGCCAATCCCATGCTCCATTCTTCCCCCTCCCCCTTCCATCCGTCCTCTCTTGCACTGTTTCAGGGGCTGCACCAATTACACGCGGCAGGTAAGGAAAATATATCCCCAAGGGTGTCCGATCGAAGACGACGACGGCGGGTACCGAGGTTTTGGATATACGTTTTGAATGGCACGCGAACAGGTAATAGTGAGCAGTCTTTAAAATGGTTGTTTTTGTTGTTGTTCTTGGTTTTGTTATGGTTGTTGTTGTTGCTGCTTCTGCTGTTGTTGTAGGCGTGGTCGTCGTTGTTGATGTTGTTGTCGTTGTTGTTGTCATTGTCGTTGTTGTTGTCATTGTGGTGGTTGTTGCTGTTGTCGCTGTTGTTGCTGTTGCTGTTGCTGTTGTTGCTGTTGCTGCTGTTGCTGTTGCTGTTGGCGTTGCTGTTGTTGTTGTTGTTGTTGCTGTTGTTGTTGTTGCTGTTGTTGTCGTTGTTGTTGTTGTTGTTGTTGTTGTTGTTGAATATTATTACTTCTAAAGAATAATTATTGTTGGGCCCCCTGGTGCACGCCCCCCCCGCCGCGCCTAGGCCGCAGCCACGTTTTCATCATTTTCGTGAGGAAGCCTCAGGTAAAACGATGTCATCCAGATCCGGTTGTTTTGTTGTAATCCGTTTTCCCTTGCAAAAAACACTATAAAATGACATTTCTTGTTCTAATATAATCAAATTTCAAGAATCCCTTGCAAAAAATAAGGTAAAGTGGACATTCGCGCGCGCAAGACGAAATCCTTCCAAAACCTTAGTTTTCGTAGCGATTTTAACATAAAAACATCAAAAAACCAATGGTTTTTCAAAAAAAATTGTCAAAATTTCATCCCGCGCGCTCTTGCGGATTCGTAGGAAACCCAACACTTTTTAAACATTTCTGTCAAACGGGCTTTTGCGAGCAACTTTTTCGAACTTCTGCAACAACGGTTGCGCACCTGCCAGGGCCATCATCCCTGTCAAATAATACCATGCGGGACACATTCGTTTTT